TACAGAAGGGAATTGGTGAGGCTTTACTCACCAAGGCGCCCCCGGGGGTTACAAGAAATAATGGCCACAAGCTAGCAGAGAGCAGATTTAGACTGGACATTAGGAAGAACTTCTTCACAGTTAGAGTGGCCAGGGTCTGGAACGGGCTCCCAAGGGAGGTGGTGCTCTCCCCTACCCTGGGGGTCTTCAAGAGGAGGTTGGATATGCATCTAGCTGGGGTCATCTAGACCCAGCACTGTTTCCTGCCTATGCAAGGGGTCGGACTCAATGATCTATTGAGGTCCCTTCCAACCCTAACTTCTATGAATCTATTAATTTAAATACTTTGGCAAAAGAAAAGAACTATTCAGGCCAAAGGAAATGTGGGCACAAGCACAAATAGATGGAAATGAGAAAGAAGGTTTCTAACCACCTGAGCGATGACCGTCTGTGGTAGTTTTGTAGTCGAGGTTAGTGGGAGCACAATGTGTTTATGGCAGGAATAGTATGAGGGGGTTGCCTGCAATAGCTGGGAACTGGCCCTTCCAATCCATTTTTCACTCCTTAATGGTATATCTCTAGGGCACAATGTCGTGCCATTTAGAGATACTCATGCTAGCCTGGGGATCAGAAGAGATATAGCTCTGCTAGCATAAGGCTCCTTTTGGGCTAATTAGTCCTGCTGGGAAGCAGGGTGTATTCATCCCAGCCAAGGCTTTGTCTAGGATGGTCTAGTTGGGGCTGGTCCTGGTTTGAGCAGGGGGTTGCACTAGATGACTTCCTGAGGTCCCTTCCAACCCTCATTTTCTATGATTTTATGGCCCGAGTGCTGCTTTAAGTCAGCTATTGTGCTTCTGGGACCTGAGCTAGTGCACGTGTTTCTGCATGGCATGGCATTGTGCCGTGTAGGCACACCTCGAATTCCCGGTTTCAGCTGGAGTCGGTTTTCTAACGTAGCATTGCTGCTTTGCTCCTGTTGAATGGTTGCCATGCTCTGTTTCAGAGGTGGATGCAGTTAAGTGAAAGGATGTTCGTGAATTCTGTATTCCTCTTTTGTCTTATAAGGGCATAGGTGCTTATATCAATCAACTGTGCAGTGAGTGGAAAGGAAAAACCATACCTGTGGGGGAGAGCATTCGGTCCTTTCCCTGCTGCTTCATTGTAAATACATTGTTCTTTTTTTTCCCCCTTTTTCTTTCTGTTCATGCAGTTCGTCCTGCACTGTGAATCCTCTGTGAACCTGCCCTTGTCCATCCTGCTGGAAAGGTACTGTGAAGCATTGTCAGGCCTCTACAATGTCACAGGTACGTACTGCGTTCCTTTCTAGCCACATTGTTTTTATCCAGTCGCTGTCACCATAGTATCCAAGTGCGTTCTCTAAGTGTCCTTGATCTCTTCTTTTCTTGCCTTTCTGAGATAAACATAGCTAAGCCAGCCTGGTGTTTCAAATGACAGACATAAAAAGGTCTCATTTTTGAGCAGAGCCTTAGATTTTACTCTCCGGGAAAGCATGGGGATGATTTGAAAGGCGCCAATAATTGCAAGAGTGTTCTGTAGTCCTTAAACATCTGCCCGGCCCGACTGTACTGTGTACCAGGCAAAGGAACACGAAAGTGCTGTATAATGTTCCCACACTTACTTTCGGACTCAATTTAGCGTTTGCAGACTTGGAAATGAATCTTTTTTTTTGTTTGGGCAAGTTCAGAACATTTGGTGATTCTGTTCTTAAATCTCTAATATCTGTTTAGGAAAAAAGCTGGCAATAGGGAACGTATGAAGACACGGGCAGTGGAAAACTTGAAGTGATCTGTTGAAGTGAGAATCTCTTGTATTTTTAAATGTGTATAAGCACAAACACTACCATTTAGACAAGTCTCCTTCTCAGTGAAGGACCAATGTTGAAGGGAAAGATTAATATGCACGCACAATACATGCACCAGCAATGCCTCATTGTGTACATGTTTTATGGTCAGGAGGGAAGTATCAGGTGATTAACGAGGTGCTGAAACCTGAGGTTTTTCTTAGCTAGATCCTAGCTTTCGTGTAAATGTGTGTCTTGATCTGGAATTATGCTGCCTTCTGTAGCATTACCCTCCATAAAGTAGCTTCGCTTTGGACAGCATTGTTTTCTAATTGTCCCACAGCATGAGACAAAGTCTAAAGGAAAGACTAATTGGTCTTCGTGAAACTTTTCATAATTTTAAACATGTCATTAGGGTGCCCTGTGACTTTTTCATAATACAGACTTTATGCTTCCCATCGTCAGATTTAATTGCACCAGTTGCATTTCATACCATCCTGTTTGGGATATCTGCAATAATTCTCTTACCACTTATTGGCAAACATACATACATATGTGCGCGCGCGTGTGTGTGTGTGTGTGTGTGCATACATACATAAGGGTAGCCAGGCTCTGGAATGGGCTTCCAAAAGAGGTGGTGCTATCACCTAGCTTGGAGGTCTTCAAGAGGAGGCTAGACAGTCACCTGGCTGGGGTCATCTGACCTCGGTCCTCTTTTCTGCCAGGGATGGGGAGTCGGACACGATGATCCATTGTGGTCCCTTCTGACTCTACAATCTATGAATCTATATATGTACATACATACATATACATACATGTATGTATATGCAGTTTTATACAACGCATAAGTGTAGCAAGTTTTATGAGGTAGGTATTGACTAGTGTAAGAACCCATTAACATGAAAAGGGAAGAAAGAAGATACCAAAATCTAGCTAACCATGCAGTGGCATTGTAAGGTGCCAGCCTTTCACAAAACTAAGTACCCAGTTTGGAACTAATCAGTCTCTCTGGTTCAGGGGCGGACAATTATTTTGGCTGGAGGGCCACGTAATGAGTTTTGGTGAGCTGTCTAGGGCCACAAGGGTAGCTCCACCCCTTGGCAGGGGCCCTGCCCACTGCTTGCCATCTTGGGACTGGAAGTCCCACCCCCTAACCCCTGACTTTTGCCACCAGAAGTCCCACCCCTTGCCCTCACAAGTACTCCTTTTGGGAAGGGGGTTTACCATCTTGGAACCAGAAAAAAAAAAAAATTGTATACTAAAAATCAAACATTGACAACAACATCTTAATATTATTTTTTAAAATATTTTTGTCCTGATTTGTGTTTGTTTGTGTGGTGTATGTAGAGGTGATTGCCTAATACCTCAAAATTAGGTCTTATTCTTATATATTGTAGGGAGTGTGGAGAGGTTGGCGGGGTGTGGAGGGGTGGGTATTGAGTTTGTGGGGGAGTGTGGGTGTGTGTGGGGTGCGGTGAAGGGTGTGGGGGGTGTGTGGATGTGGGTGGTATGGGAGCTTGGGTGAGGAGCGTTTGTGGAGATGTTTGTGTGGGCGTGGAGTTTGTGGGGTGTGAGGAGGGGGAGGGTGGCTGGGTGATTGTGTGTTGGGGGGATGGTTGTGTGTGTGGTGTATGCATGTAGCAGTGAGTGGGGCTCCCCCCAGAGGTGCATAGGTGCGTGTGTGGGGGTTTTGTGGGGGGAGTGTGGGTGGGTGCGGTGTTTGTGGGGTGTGTGATTGTGGGGGGGGGAGGTTGTGGTTGTGGGTTTTGCAGGGAAGGGTTTGCGGGTATGGTGCAGTGCTCATGGCAGCTCCCTGTGTGTACCCCCATGAGCTGGTCAGCATCTGCCCCTGCTCCGCAACATCCCAGAGCCTGTGCACCCTGCTGCGCCTCCCCGCCACTGCCAACACTGCACACCCCCAGTCCTCCCTGTGCCCGAGTCACCTGTGGTGTGTCCTGCTGCCCCTGGGCACGCAGCAAGGCTGGGGTTGCTCCATGGCTGGACTGCCCTTCTAGGCAGCCTGGGTGGCAGCTCCTTCCGCCGCTACTGGCCCCAGCCCCATGGTATCGGCAGGGACCCGCACTGCTCAGCTCTGACCCCACACACCCTGCGCCTGCTCTGGGCTTGCCCACCTGGGATCAGCAGTGGCAGCATGGGACAAAAGCTGTTGCTCAGCATGAAGGGAAAGCGGACCTCCCATTCCCACTGCCAGCAGTTCCCTGCTGCATCCTCATGGAGCTCGTGCCACATTAGGTTGCTATGCACCTGCCCTGTGCTGCCACTGCTGCCCTGCTGAGCAGCCCTGAAGTGGCAGTGATGCTGGTGAGGATGCAGGGTACCCAGCACAAGCTCCAGGTGGCTGCAGCAGAGAACTGCCAGGAATCAGAGGAGCCACTTTCCCCCATGCTGAGCAACAGCTTTTGTCCCATGCTGCTGCTGCTGAGCCCGGGCAGGTGAGCCTGGAGCAGGTGCAGGGCCGGGGCTGTGCAGCATGGATCTCCACTGGTACTATTGGGCTGGGGCTGGTGGTGATGGCAGCCAGAAGGAGCCACTTGCCACCTGGGCTGTCTAGAAAGGCAGTGCCACAGTGAAGCTGCCCCAGCCCCACTGTGTTCCCAAGGGGTGGCAGGACATGACACGGTTGGACTGTGTCTGGACTAGGCGGGACCAAGGGACCCACTGCAGGTTGGACAAAGACCTGCTGTGAGCTGGATCCAGCCCATGGGCCATATTGTGCCCATCCCTGCTCTAGTTATATCAAAACACTTTGATGTTCAATTAACTCTCCTTTAGCCGTAGGTGACAGAGCACCTAGCACGCCTTTCACTTTAAGAAGGTAAGAGGCTAGAGAAGCAGCCTGCAGGTGTGATAGGGGCCCATTAGAGAGTCACCTGACCAGAAGGGGGCTGGACTTGAAGCATATAAGCCCAGGGCCTGATCTGGGCAGGGAATCTCAACTGGCCCTAAGAGTGTAGCCAGGGACCAGAGAGAGGGGCCAAAGACCATGGGTTTCACAGCCGGAGACCGAGGTGGCCAAGGAGTCTGTAGCCCAAGACAGGTGAGGATTGAGGCTGGGAGCCCTGAGGGCCATGTGTCAGCAGGCATGAATAACATCGGTGAGGTATGAGCGTGGTGTAAGGGGCGGTTGGAGCCATGTAATGAGCCCTTAAGGCAATGAGCCGACACTGGTGCTTATGAGGAGATCTGATTTGGGAAGCCCTGGGGTACCCTCCCTTTTCCGAAAGTAGTATTTCATTAAGGTGTGGCAGGCGAGGAGAAGGGAAAAGTGCCCACAGAGAGACTAGACAAGGGCTGAGGGGGCATCACAGCCACCCCTGGAGTTGAATGAACCCTGTTATACCTTGTCTGTAACAGGGACTTTCTTTCAAAATCCTTCGGCACTCTGACAAATACACAGACGCTGACAGTCTTGAACAATTTATAACCACCAAGGAACATAATACACCAAATCCTTTATCTTGTTTGCTGATCCTTCATCTCACTTACCCATCTCTTGTAAGTGAACCCTCTGCTACTCCCATATGTGAGATTCCTCTCCTTAACACTGCTAACTTTGCTTTCAACAAACTGTTCAAGCAAAGTATCATTGACAAGTAGTATAAAATGCTGTCATGCATGCATAAGTTTAGTGCCATTTATTCTGGGCTGCTCTGTAGCTTCAGTCAAGATTTATTTAAACAACAAAAACATTTTTAGGAGGTCACAGGGGATAAATGACTCTTTTCCTGGTTCTTGCTTGTTTCAGTGATTCCTGGATGATTTTTTTTAAAACTAGAGTTTCCTGATGCACCTTCAGTGGAGTCAGCCTAGGCAATGATGAGGCATGCTTAGTTCCTGCTTCTCTTCTGCATTTGCTTGATCTCTATTGTATAATTGTGAATGGTGCTGCCACTGGCAGTAAAGGGGCTTGTCAGAAGTTGGCTAAAATTAAGTACGTGTCACCAGTGCCTGATCTATAGCTAGGAAAAATCATACATGAAAAATCAATATAAGTTGGGTTCCTAATGTCTTTAGTCTCCTTGGAATATGACATACTATATATTTCCAGTGGCATTGGTCATTCTTGGTCTGTGACATGTGTATCACTGGGCTTATCTATGACTGAGTAGCCTTTCAGGCTCAGTTTTGGTCTCCATCAAAGTATCTTTGCTACCCTTATGCCCTTTGCATAAATACTGCCTCGTATTTTAATGTATAGGCAGTTTGTTTCAGGGCACATCAATATGGCATATGGCCTTCCTGAGACATGACACATGCACTCTGAGCATGCCAGCTTTCAAAACAGAGACTAATGAGGGGTGCCTTGAGTCTAAAAAAGGTTGAGTGGTCTGGTAGTTCAGTGGTCTACCTAGTCCAGTGAAATCACTGGACTAGGGAGGCAAAAGTGGGCAAAAGTGATGCAAGCCACCCTCTCTCTTGGGTGACGTTGGCTGTAGGGGCTGACTTGCCTTATACCCCCTTGCCTGGCAGGCTCAAGTAGAC